CCTGTGGTGGTACTCTAATACAGGAGGTGCGTTGCTGGCTATAGCCGCTGGCAGTGACTGAGCACAAAAATACGACAGGCTGGTTGTACTGAAGTCAATCAATCTTGCCTTCATTTTGCATCAAATTCTGGAGTGGATTGTCTGACATGAACAAATCCGAGGCAGCTTTCACACCTGGGGGATGTCACTTTTTCTGCAGCATTTATTGGTGTGTTTGTCATACAACAGCATAAGGCAGACCTATGCATGACAAACGCACCAAAATGGCTCAAGTACCTTTTTTTTGTTTTTTTTTGGGGGGGGGGGCACTGAGCCAAGCATGTTTTGCCGTATTTTTTATGCACTCTGTCGAACAACAAAGCACAGAACTGCTACCTGTGTTTGTGATGCCATTAAGAAATAATAGCACTGCAAGCATTATGCACATTTTTAGCGTGTTTCTTGAAATGCAAGAGGAAATGGGTATTATCTTATTTAGGTGATTTTCTGTTTATTGGGTCTAGGCACTAAATTCTGTCACAGTTGAAGTGATTTTGGTGTAATGGTTGGAGCTCATGGTTAGTATATGCAAGGTGGTGAGTTTGAGACTGTACTTTGGTGTTTTCAATATCTACTTTTCAGGATCCAATGGCCATTGAAACAAAGTTTTTTTGCCTTGCACCACATTTGATTTCTTGGATATTATCCAAACCAGCCAAGATGGCATTGTTTTTTCAGGATTCAAAAACTAGGTTCACAGTACAGCGCAAATCTGCTGCTTTTTAGCAGACAAGCAATACTTAATGGCATCTCCATGCATTGGCAAATGTGGTGTTTTAGTATAATGTGGCTCAGTGTGGTGCAATTTAATAATAATAATAAAAAAAAAGTTGGTTACCTTTTTTTCCCCTGTGTCTGTGGGAAGGGCAGCCCATTCAAGTGAATAAGAAATAATAAAAAAAAACAAAACAGCGCTCAACCAATGAACCTGACAAGTTTAATGAGGTCATACTGTATTGCAGTAATGACAGCAAAAAGGAGCAAAAAAGGCTTAATACACTGACTTTTTAGGGCTTTACCAACCCCTATTTCAGGGCCCTTAAATGTCAGTGAATTATGCCTTTTTTGCACTTTCTGCTATCACATACTGCAATACAGTATGACCTCATTAAAATTGTAAGACCCAACATATGCTATAGTTGTTCACCTAAAAAGTTGGTAATATGTGACTAGGGCATCAAACCTTTTGTGGATTAAATCTCAGTTAGTGGTTTCGATATCTTTCAAGGATTTTGAAAGATGGAGGCATATTGGATCTTTGAACGTCATCTTTGCATGTTTGGATACATATATCTCTCTATTATGCTTAATACAGATTTAATTTCATGGTATTATAGTACCTCCAAGTTGAAGTAATGCGCGTGGTAATTATTAGAGTAAGAAACAATACTAAAAAAAAGAGTTTAACACAGATTTTGGTGTGATAGTAACGATCAGTAAGATATTATAGTAAATCAGGGTGTAGTACACAACTTTTACCACTAGATGTCCTGAGTAGGTTAAAACTGAACCCCAGGCAAACTGCTAAATTCACAGATTAACTACAAACAAGGCAGCTGTATTACTTGAAAAATAATCTGTATTTCTATCTATCCAGTCCTGAGATTTACACAGCCCTGTCACATCCCACAGTCCGGTCTAAAAAGGACAAGAGATTTTTCTGTGCTGTTCTCCTCCCCAACCTTTGACTGTAAGTGGCTAATACCAAGTCAAATCTAGGTAGATATAGCTCTTGCATTACAGATGTTCTCATGAATACAGAGATGCATTCATATGTATCTGTTCTATCTACCTGGAGCTCAGTTTAAAGTATAACATTTTTTATAGTAAAAATCCATGTCACAGAAGGTAGAGAAAGGAGAGCGATGAGAGAGAAAAGGCAAAGCAAAAAAAGAATTGTCCTCTGCCTTGTGTCCTCATAACTTTACCAGCATGCTGGCAAATATCATTGTAAAGGGATAATAGCAATGATCTCTCCTAGCTCCATGCAATATGTCCTCAGTATCCCACTGTTTTTTGCAGCATGTCTCCAACCAAATGTCCACATTTGACAATCACTCTCCACCATCCAAAGTTAAAAAATGTAGTGCTACCCTGATGAGGGCCGCTGTGTTGTGGGTACCCCTAAGCTCTCTGCACAGCCAGGCAACAGGTATCTGTTGCCTGGCTGTGCATTCAAGAGACAGTAACCAGGCTGTGAGCTTGGTTTTATTTTATTAGTGGAAATAACTTGGATAGGGAAATGGGGATTATGGGATGCCCAGTTGGCTTGAATCAATGAAGGAGGGACAACTTCCTTCCTATGTACAAAGACAGATCCTGCACTATTCTTTTCTTGAAAGCCGTCAGTCTTTGTGAATCAGTAGCAACAGCCCTTTATGGGTGAGAAACTAGCAGCCCCTCAAGAATCAGCTTAGCTTCTCGTAACTATAGTGGATATAAAAAGTCTACACACCCCTGTTAAAATGTCAGGTTTCTGTGATGTAAAAAAATGAGACAAAGATAAATAATTTCAGAGCTTTTTCCACCTTTTAATTTGACCTATAAACTGTACAACTCAATTGAACAACAAACTGAAATCTTTGGGGGGGGGGGAGTAAACAAAAGATTAAAATAATGTGGCTGCATAAATGTGCACACCCTCTTATAACTGGAGATGTAGCTGTCTTCAGAATTAAGCAATCACATTCAAAATCATGTTAAATAGGAGTCAGTACACACATTGCCATTATTTTAAAGTACCTCTGATTAACCCCAAATTAGTTTCAGTTGTTCTGGTAGGTCTTTCCTGACATTTTCTCAATTGCATCCTACAGCAAAAGCCATGGTCCACAGTTTTGGAATGGTCCAGCCAGAGCCCAGACCTGAATCCGATCGAAAATCTATGGGGTGATCTGAAGAGGGCTGTGCACAGGAGATGCCCTCACAATCTGACAGATTTGGAGTGTTTGTGCAAGGAAGAGTGGGCAAATATTGCCAAGTCAAGAAATGCCATGCTGATAGATTTACACTGTAATAAAATCAAAAGGTGCTTCAACAAAGTATTAGTTTAAGGGTGTGGACACTTATGCAACCATATTACTTTATTTTTACTTCCCTCCACCTAAAATACTTTTGTTTGTTATTCAACTGAAATGTACAATTTATATATTAAAATAAAGGTGGAAAACGTTCTGAAATTATTTATCTTTGTAATTTTTTTACATCAGAGAAACCTGAAATTTTAACAGGGGTATGTAGACTTTTTATATCCACTGTACATGCAGATACTTCTCTTCCCCTGCAGAGCTTCTCCCAGCTTCACAGCCTGCAGACACTACCAGCCCTCCTGGTTGCTCGGAAGATCTCCCAGGACAAGGCTAAAGGATTGAGCCCAGCGCTGTCCTTTGAAAGTTTGCTACATGTGTCAATCTTTCCCCTTGTAGATCCCAGGGCGTGCTAATGTACTTACTCTGTCCTCTTTGCTCCCTGCTGCTCCAGGTCTTGATCCCATTCACACTGCACTACTGACTGTATCCTCCCTGAGCCTACCCTAGCCCAGCCTGGAGGCTGCCCCTCCCCCCGACCAATGGGACCATCCTCCTCAGCACTCAATCTTCCACCCGACTCTCCTGTCAGTTCCCATATTTATGGGCTAGTCCACCACTCTACCAGGGCCTCCAAACCTGGGATTGGCCAGACTCCCCATAAACATGCAGATTAGGTCTCCACCCCTTCCTGCTTACTGTCAGGAATGGACTCAGCACTGGTGGTGGGACTCACCTGCCGTGTGGGCTGCAGTACCAGGGCTGACCAGCGGGTGCTCTCAGGCCCTGGTGAATAAGCAGACTGGGACTTAGACTCCGCGCCCTGGTGAATCCTGTCCTGAGGACTGCTAGGGGTACCACTAGACGGTCGTTAACAGAACCATATGGCCGGCCTGACCCTTCCACCTCTCCAGCCCTGACTGCGCCTGTGTTCCTGCACATACTAAGATTAGTGGAAGGTTGGTTTATTTACTGTGCGTTGTATATTTGGGTAGCTAATAATAAATGTTATTATTATATCATTCCTGAAGCCTGTTACTTCCCTGTGTCAGTTCACAGACCTCTGGTCACACCCAGATCCTTGACATTACACCAAGGCCCTTCATGACCAGAAGTGGCTGCACAGGGAAGCCATCTTGGCTTGTTGTTGGGAAGGATGCATCCGGAGGAGGTTATATACTTGTGTCTGCTAGTCTTTGATGACAAAGAATATGCCTATGAGACTCTGCAGGAGTATACCAGGGATCAGCTGCTAGAATGCATAGGGGTCGCGCATTCCCTGGTAGATCCGGCCCCGAGTTCTCTGAGGTGCAACCATTAATTCAGGCTTGTGTGGAGTTGGCTTCAGCTAGTACCCCTGAAAGCAGGGATGACTTTTTTCCCCCATTCAGTGCAGATCAAGTGGAATCGCTGGTATGGTTGATGGAGGATGATTCAGATTGCTTCCATGAGCATTATGCAGCTTGTCCATCACATGTGCTAGTGGAGTGTATAGACGCAGTGCAGTCTTTGGTCACACAGGCTATGTGTAAGCGGAGTTGTGTTCAACCCATACTACAGTCCTGGGCAGACTTGTTACACCCAGCCTCAGTCAGCTTGCAACAAACCAGTCCTGTTTCTCATCATTCCTCTGCTCAAAGCTCTCTTCCTGCACTCCCGACAGCACCCCCAATGACAGCCCAGTATACCCTGCTAGCTACCACATGTCAGTCCCCTGCTCCCACTCACCGCACCTATCCTGCCTTTTACCCTGTAAAGAAGCCCTCTGTAGCAACTGCTCCCTCCTTTGTTCCATCCTCCGGCTCTTCCCTGTCTTCAGCTGCTCCATCCGTTTACAGACCCGCGTTTACTTACAGTGCTCCAGTAACTAAACCCAAGAAGAACCGAAAATTCTTTCCAACCAGTACCATCCTACCAGTATCCAAACCGGTCAGCCTGCTGTCTGAGGACCCGCCTTCCGTTGTCCAGCCTGATGCCCTGATGCCCGATGACCCGATCCGGCCCGATGACCCGATCCAGCCTGATGACCCGATCCAGCCTGATGACCCGGTGTTCGTGATCCAGCCTGATGACCCGATCCAGCCTGATGACCCGATCCAGCCTGATGACCCGGTGTTCGTGATCCAGCCTGATGACCCGATCCAGCCTGATGACCCAATCCAGCCTGAAGACCCGGTGTTCGTGATCCAGCCTGATGGCTTGAGCCAGCCTGATAACCCGACCCAGCCTGATGACTCGGTGCCCGCTGCGAGCTTGGTGACTCAGTGCCCGCTGTTCTGCCAGATGACCTGGTGCCCACTGTCGTGCCAGATGACTCAGTGCCCGCTGTCGTGCCAGATGACTCAGTGCCCACTGTCAAGCTTGGTGACCCGGTGCCCGCTGTTCTGCCAGATGACCTGGTGCTCACTGTTGTACCAGATGACTCGGTGCCCGCTGTCGTGCCTGATGACTCGGTGCCCGCTGACGTGCCTGATGACTCGGTGCCCGCTGACTTGCCCGATGACTCGGTGCCCGCTGTCGAGCTTGGTGACTCGGTGCCCGCTGTCATGCCAGATGACTCGGTGCCCGCTGTCGTGCCAGATGACTCGGTGCCCGCTGTCGTGCCAGATGACTCGGTGCCCGCTGTCGAGCTTGGTGACCCGGTGCCCGCAGTTCTGCTAGATGGCTCGGTGCCCGCTGACGTGCCCGATGCCTCGGTGCCCGCTGACTTACCCGATGACTCGGTGCCCGCTGTCGAGCTTGGTGACTCGGTGCCCGCTGTCATGCCAGATGACTCGGGGGCCCGCTGTCGTGCCAGATGACTCGGTGCCCGCTGACGTGCTCAATGACTCGGTGCCCGCTGTCGAGCTTGGTGACTCGGTGCCCGCTGTTGTGTCAGATGACTCGGTGCCCGCTGTCGAGCTTGGTGACCCGGTACCCGCTGATGTGCTCGATGGTTCGGTGCCCGCTGACGTGCCCGATGACTAGGTGCCCGCTGACTTGCCGATGACTCGGTGCCCGCTGTCAAGCTTGGTGACTCGGTGCCCGCTGTCGTGCCAGGTGACTCGGTGCCCGCTGTCATGCCAGATGACTCGGTGCCCGCTGTCGTGCCAGATGACTCGGTGCCCGCTGTCGAGCTTGGTGACCCGGTGCCCGCAGTTCTGCTAGATGGCTCGGTGCCCGCTGACGTGCCCGATGCCTCGGTGCCCGATGACTTGCCCGATGACTCGGTGCCCGCTGTCGAGCTTGGTGACTCGGTGCCCGCTGTCATGCCAGATGACTCGGTGCCCGCTGTCGTGCCAGATGACTCGGTGCCCGCTGTTGTGCCAGATGACTCGGTGCCCGCTGTCGAGCTTGGTGACCCGGTGCCCGAAGTTCTGCTAGATGGCTCGGTGCCCGCTGACGTGCCCGATGCCTCGGTGCCCGCTGACTTACCCGATGACTCGGTGCCCGCTGTCGAGCTTGGTGACTCGGTGCCCGCTGTCATGCCAGATGACTCGGTGCCCGCTGTCGTGCCAGATGACTCGGTGCCCGCTGACGTGCTCAATGACTCGGTGCCCGCTGTCGAGCTTGGTGACTCGGTGCCCGCTGTTGTGTCAGATGACTCGGTGCCCGCTGTCGAGCTTGGTGACCCGGTACCCGCTGACGTGCTCGATGGTTCGGTGCCCGCTGACGTGCCCGATGACTCGGTGCCCGCTGACTTGCCGATGACTCGGTGCCCGCTGTCAAGCTTGGTGACTCGGTGCCCGCTGTCGTGCCAGATGACTCGGTGCCCGCTGTCATGCCAGATGACTCGGTGCCCGCTGTCGTGCCAGATGCCTCGGTGCCCGCTGACTTGCCCGATGAATCGGTGCCCGCTGTCGAGCTTGGTGACTCAGTGCCCGCTGTCGTGCCAAATGACTCGGTGCCCGCTGGCGTGCTCAATGACTCGGTGCCCGCTGTCGAGCTTGGTGACTCGGTGCCCGCTGTTGTGTCAGATGACTCGGTGCCCGCTGTCGAGCTTGGTGACCCGGTACCCGCTGACGTGCTCGATGGTTCGGTGCCCGCTGACGTGCCCGATGACTCGGTGCCCGCTGACTTGCCGATGACTCGGTGCCCGCTGTCAAGCTTGGTGACTCGGTGCCCGCTGTTGTGCCAGATGACTCGGTGCCCGCTGACGTGCTCAATGACTCGGTGCCCGCTGTCGAGCTTGGTGACTCGGTGCCCGCTGTCGAGCTTGGTGACCCGGTACCCGTTGACGTGCTCGATGGTTCGGTGCCCGCTGACGTGCCCGATGACTCGGTGCCCGCTGACTTGTCGATGACTCGGTGCCCGCTGTCGAGCTTGGTGACTCGGTGCCCGCTGTCGTGCCAGATGACTCGGTGCCCGCTGTCATGCCAGATGATTCGGTGCCTGCTGTCGAGCTTGGTGACCCAGTGCCCGCGGTTCTGCTAGATGGCTCGGTGCCCACTGACGTGCCCGATGACTCCGTGCCTGCTGACGTGCCTGGTGACTCGGTGCCCGTTGTTGTGCCAGATGACTTGGTGCCCGCTGTCGTGCCCCGATGACTCGGTGCCCGCTGTCGAGCTTGGTGACCTGGTGCCCGCGGTCTGCTAGATGGCTCGGTGCCCGCTGTCATGCCAGATGACTCGGTGCCCGCTGTTGTGCCAGATGACTCGGTGCCCGCTGTCGTGCCTCTGCCCGCTGCCCAGCCTGACGTGCCTCCACCCGCTGCCCAGCCTGACTTGCCTCCACCCGCTGCCCAGCTTGACGTGCCTCCGCCCGCTGTGCAGTCCGATGTGCCTCTGTCCGCTGCGCAGCCTGATGTGCCAGCCCCTGATGTCCAGCTAAACTGGCCAATAACTGATTCCCAGCCTGCTCCTGGAAATCCTGTGTCCAGTGACCTGCCTTCCTGGGTTCCCCTACATAAAGAGAAGTCTGCCAGCAGGAAACCCAGCCAGCCGGTTGACTCCGGCAGTAAGATATCCAGCCAGTTACCTGACCCGGGCGGTGGAACATTTTGCCCACTAAGGAATGTTTGGAGCATCCTGAGGCCGCTCCTTGAGGGGGGGGGGGGGTACTGTCAGGAATGGACTCAGCACTGGTGGTGGGACTCACCTGCCGTGTGGGCTGCAGTACCAGGGCTGACCAGCGGGTGCTCTCAGCAGCCAGAAGCTCACTCCTGCAGTCAGCCTACACCTGGGTCTGATTGCAGGAGGTGTATTTAAGGAATGACCAGGCCTGTGATCAGTGCCTTGGTGTATGTTTCCCATGATCCCCTGTACCTTGTATCCTGTGTTCCTGTTCCTCTGCCTATTTGATTTGTTGCCGACTCTGCATTGTTCCTGACCCTGCTGACCGTCTCCTGTTTAACCCCTGGCTTGCCTGACCATCCTTCTGCCTGATCCTCTGTACCGTGCTGCCCGTGAGTTACTGAACCCGGCTTGTGACCCTGACTATTCTCTGCCTGCTCCTTCGGTACCTCGCTGCCCGCACGTTGCTGACCTGGCCTGCCTGACTACGCCTTAGGCTACCCAGATGATCCATCCATCCTGCACGGATCCAGCCATCCCTGCTCACACCTTCTGCCTCTTCACATCAGGCTTCCTACCTGCATATACCTCTGGCGGATCCCTCTATCACGAGCAGGTGTACTCAGGGGCTGCGACCTGGTTCCTGTCTGCTCCAAGTCCATCCCCACCATCAGGGGCCCTGGTGAATAAGCAGACTGGGACTTAGACTCCGCGCCCTGGGGAATCCTGTCCTGAGGACTGCTAGGGGTACCACCAGACGGTCGTTAACAGAACCATATGGCCGGCCTGACCCTTCCACCTCTCCAGCCCTGACTGCGCCTGTGTTCCTGCACATACTAAGATTAGTGGAAGGTTGGTTTATTTACTGTGCGTTGTATATTTGGGTAGCTAATAATACATTTTATTATTATATCATTCCTGAAGCCTGTTACTTCCCTGTGTCAGTCCCCACACCTCTAGTCACACCCAGATCCTTGACACTTACCAGCTTCTGGAAGGTTCTATGGTCCTCCAGAGTCAGAAGGAGGTGATAGAGCCACAACCTGTTAAGTCATCCAGCTGACCTGCAATAACCCGACCTTAGCCACACAGTTACCATGAGTCATACACAGTTATTTTACTTGCAATACACTACACTATTCTAGTAACACACTAGAGGGTACAAAAAATCAGGTTTTGTCTTTACATACAATTTAAATGTTTAGTGAACACATACAACTGTCTCTGTCCCTTTTATGTGTACTTTAGATCAATCAAAATGCATCTTACTAATTTTATATGTCATATCTTTAAAGTCAGGCACTATATACACTGTATTGGGACACCTGCCTTTACATACACATGAACTTTAATGGCATCCCAGTCTTAGTCAGTAGGGCTCAGTATTGAGTTGGCCCACCCTTTGCACCCTATGTTTAATGGCAAACTGTTATCTTGATCTAATGTCCTTTTTGGGCAGCAATGGCTTTTTCTTAACACACCTTTCCTGCAGATTGAATTAGTGTTATCTCTTATGATTGTAGATGCATACACAACTGTTGCAAGAGTTACTTGGACACCCCACTATAAAATGTTGGAGTTCTTAGACTTCTTTTAGCTTCAAATTGTAGATCTCCGTTTGAATTTGTTGGGCTGGCCTTTTTAAAAAACACTGTTTATTTTCCTTACAGTGCAATGATTGATTTCAAATTATTTGGCGATTCTTTTAATTCCATTGCCAGACTCTTCGGCATACACAGATTTTTTTTCACTGAATTCTTAGAGAGTTCCATCGATCTTGACATGATGGCACCACACAAGCTAATACCAAAGAGGACACCAGATTCAGGGGGCAAGTACAACCCAGAGGCCCATGGTGCAGCGACTTGACAGCGGTACAGCAACGTGACCCCCTCTCACTCTCCCTCTTCCCTGCCTCATCGCAATCCCCAACCCAGGCTGAAGCTATACTCTAGGTAGTCCCTGCTCACTAGGCAGGTCGGGATGGACAGTGTGGCAGGCGCAGCACCCTTTGGTGCCTAGTGCGCTGTGGCATTAGAAAAATTATGCAATTGCTGTTTCTTTTGTTTGATTGGACTGACTTTACTCTGTAATTCCTCCAATGCCGCTCTATGGATGCAGTAGGTTTAAAGAGCACACCGAATACTTTAGTTAACTTCTTTAATAACTTCAATCTTCTTCATATAACTGCTTACAATGGCTTATTTCTTTCATATTACAATGGTTTAACTTGTATTACATTGGGTTGATTCAATAGATTGATAAATTCGTTAGATTCAGTAAATTCGATTGTTCGATATATTCGTTCGATATATTCGATAACTTCGTAAGTTCGTTCGGTGGAACTATTTGGCCTGCTCTGCTTCCATAAAGCTTTTCTGATTGGAACTGTCTGTTTCCTCTTCTGTCTGGTGAGCATGTGTCTCTCGAAAATCCTAGCAGGGAGTTTTACACAGGCATAGATGTGAAACTGGCTGGGATTGGTTAAGGCTCTGTACAGTATGAGGCTGTCTGTGATTGGCTCATCTTTAACTAACTCTTAAAGGCATATTTTCCTTTTCTGCTTCTGCTAACACAATGAATATATAAATGTCATATAACAATCAAAGACATAAATTACA